AGAGCAAGGTAACATCTGCTGCACTGGTGAAGCACCTGGCCAACTATGGGTTGACAACGAAAGAACCAGAGCCATTGGATGGTGGCGCCGCATTAGGTTTGAAGTTGAAATCTGATTCCACAGGAGATCTCATATTTTCCAGAGCCAACAGGATTCCCCATGCAGTGTCTAAAGTCACCAAACGGGAGTTGTTCTCGATCTGCGGAAAACTTACAGGTCATTATCCGGTTGCTGGATGGTTAAGGATAGCATGCAGCTACATAAAGAGAAGGGCAAATGGTACCAATTGGGAGGAGATTGTAAACGATGAAGTGGAGAAAATGTTGAAGGAAATGTTGAGCCGTTTGACTAATGAGGATCCCGTCAAAGGCAAATGGTACGTGCCTAAAGCAACCAAAGGAACCGTATGGTGTGATGCTAGCAGTATCGGATATGGTGTGTTACTTGAGGTCAATGGCAACGCGGTAGAGGATGCTGCATGGCTTCGGAAACCTTCAGATTTTGATCATATCAACGTAGCAGAGCTGGAGGCTGTGATGAAAGGTGTAAACATGGCCATCAAGTGGAACATCTCTGAAATCGAAGTTATCACTGACTCAGCAACGGTGGCTGGTTGGATCAAAACTGTTCTATCGGAAGAGAGGAGAGTGCACACCAAAGGGGCAGCGGAGTTGATTGTGAAGAGACGATTAGGGATATTGAAAAGCCTTATTAATGAGTTTAGTCTGGTTTTGTCGGTCACCTTGGTTCCGACCAGAAAGAACAAAGCAGACATTCTGACAAGAGTGAAAAAGGAGTGGTTAAGCACTGGCGGGTATGGAATGGAGGAAGGAGAACCAGAACCATGCGTTTGTGCTACTGGCCATCTTGACTTGAAAGACTTGCACGATATGCACCATATGGGGGTAGACCGTACTTTGTATTTGGCTCGGAAGGTGCTACCAGAAACGAGCCGTGCTGATGTTAAAAAAGTCGTACAAGCTTGTGAGCAATGTCAGTCTATCGATCCTGCACCAGTTGTCCATGAGGCGGGCAACCTAGATGTCGCTACAGACTGGACAAGATTGGCAATAGACATAACTCACCATCATCAAGTGCCATACCTGTCAATTGTTGATTGTGGCCCAGGGCGATTCGCAATTTGGAAGAAACTGAGGAGAGAGACAGCAGGGTTTGTGACAGAAGTAGTTGAAGAACTCATGTTAGAGAGAGGACCAGTGCGCGAGATCTTAATGGATAATGGCACAGTGTTTCGTTCAGATTGTTTTTGGCAGATGCTTCAGAAATGGAATATCAAACCATTGTTCAGAGCTGCATATAGGCCTACGGGGAACGGGATTGTTGAGAGACACCATCGTACAGTGAAGTCCATTGCAGAAAGAGGAAACATTCCCCCCCAAGAAGCTGTGTTTTGGTACAACTCAACACCAAGGGCAGGTTTGGACCCAGCATCAGTGCCACAGAGAGCTGTCTACCGTTATGATTGGAGAAACCATATCGTTGTTAATGAAGAAGAAGACGGGCCTGGAAGATTTGAAGTTGGAGATGATGTTTGGGTTAAACCACCCCAGAGCAAATGTACGACTAAGTGGAATAGAGGTACGGTTACAGGAGTAAACTCGATCAACAATGTTGCTGTCGATGGTATGGCTCGTCACATTCTCGATGTTAGAAGAGTGGTACGAGATGTAACTTCAGAGGAAGAGGATGATGAGGGAGGTGGCGGTGAACAGCAAACCTTGCAAACCCTGACGAGAAACGAAGGTGCAGGTGAACCCCCTCCCAGGCGGTATCCTGATCCAGTCAGGAAAACCCCCGGTTGGTTGGTGGACTATGAAACTCAGTAAATGAAGTAATCAAGTGTACAAAGTGTAGATAGCGTTGAACCATGTCCTGTTCGCACGATTGAAGAACTAAATTTTGTTTTGTTTGATCTTGAGATCACGGGGGCGTGTGGTTAGCTGTGTGATTCTCGGGAAAGTAGTCGAGTACGGTTGACATTGAAGAAACCAAGGACAGGCCGAGGCGTGAGCCACGGACTTTTGAAGACTGCGTGAGTAGCGGTCGAGGCGCAGCGCAGAGAGTTGCGACGAGTTAGTGCAAGTTGGATCGCTACATGAGGTGGGTGTGTGTAGTAAAACCGTATGCATGTATAGTTAAACTACAGTACTTGTGAAAGTAATTAAGCTTTCAAGTTATGCCTTATTAAAAGTTTCTATTTGTCTGTTTCGAATAACTTTGATTTTCTGAAAAAAATGTGATCTCTGATTAACCTTTTATAAATATATATGCACATTTTTATATTTGCAGTCCTTGAAGCTCATACGAATGTGAGCATTTATGTACGTGCTAGCTGCCCACGTGCTGTTGGCATGATAACCAAACGTTTAGGGCTTGGATCATCATGTGTTGCTTTTGACCGCCCCTACAGTTGCGGCTTATTGATGACAGTCTTTCTGAAGTGTCTTTAGGCAATTCCCAAAGGGGGGATGTTAACATGTTCTTATGCACAATAGAATTGTGAATGGGCTGATTCATCAATGTCATGCTCATAACTGTGCCTGAACTGCTACGGGGAACTTCTGTTTTTTCTTTCCTAATCCTTAATATTGTCATTTTTTCTCCACTTCTTTTGTATGTTTGTCACACTCTTGTGACCCGCTATTTCCGGGGTGCCTTGATAGTCGAAGCAGACTTTGTGCTGTTGAAGCAAGAGAGGTGAGCAGAGTAAGTCTGATTCCCTGTATGGACTTCTCTGTTGACATTCACCTCTTGATGCTCATATGACCTTATGCAGTCACGAGCACTGTAAAAACTCTACTAATACTAAACTAAAGATAAAAGTATTTCTGTCACTACATGTTTGGGATGTACCTGCTACACAAAGATAGAATAATACTTAAATACATGAAAAATACTCAATTTCACAAAGACAATCCACACATCGTTGCTAGTCGCAACTGTGCAGTGCCCTGTTTTTGAGCTCAAAGACACACCCAAGACAGTGACCACCCACATAAACACTGTGTCACCGACACACACTTGACATTGTTAGCCTGGACTACTCCCTAACCAGCTTTGAACCTATTCTGAACAGGGGGCTCTCCCATTTTTAAAGAATTGAGATTGGAAAGTAATGACTCAGTTCTGGAGTATTGTATAAGGATGCATAGCTGCAGTCGAAACCTACGAGGTTATAAATTCTTAAGCTCAAAATTATGAAAATCTTGCTCTGTTTCATTTTCTTGTGAATGTTACTGGTTTCTTGTGAAAACTGACACAAAGGTCAGCACCAACAAAATTACATATGTCTGTCCCCGTTGTTTTATGCAAACAAAATTCTGAAATTATGCGATTCTGTTAATTTTAACAAAGAATAATAAAAGGAAATAATCAGAAAGTAGGCAAAAAATGATCAAATTTTGCTATATTATGCAGGGTGCATAAAACCACGGGGACAGATATGTAGAAGTTTGTTAAATAAGATGAGATGATACTTAATTGTCCCTTTGGGAAATTTTTCCTGGCTGTACAGGAATGGTAACAACAAATCTTGTAGATATACAAAAAAATTGAATTATATATTACTTTCACAAAAATTCGATACGCAGAGAAAAATAAAGCTAACAATAATACACATATCACTTCAGATGTATCTTTCAACCAGATGCTTGAATTTATCACAGACCTTTTTGAGTTATATAGATAATATAATATGTAATAGACAGTGAAAGATCTTGTCAGTTTGGTAGTGTTTGAGCGCTAAATCAGCGGCTAGCACTGTATGCTCCCCGGGAAGCTGAGAATGTTTGTGTTCTATGGTATGCTGGGTTAATAATATAGTGTAGAGCGCATAGCTTGCCGTCGAGCGGAGATATGCGCCATACAAATGCTATCTATTTATTATTATTATAAAAAATCAACAGCAATACTCATTAATGTTTATTTCAACAGCAGCCTTATTCCAGATGGTAGGAGGGCATACCTTGTATCCCTCTAGCCCATGTTGGCCCTGACAGGTAGGCTTGAAGCAGCCCGCCTCCAAAATGGTCTGAATTGTGCTAATGGTGGAGTAAAAATCTTCATTTGTAATTTTTAAGTATTGAACAAATGAGAGGGTTAAGCTCCCAAACAAGCGGGTGGTTAGTGGGTGCTCTGGTGTGGTTTGCTCCTTCTTTTTTGTCAAACATCTATTATCCTTATCTCTCTGTGTGAGAGCCCTCGTGGCCTAGAGATTAAGGTGATTGCCTCTCGTTCAATAGGTCTTGGGTTCGAATCCGGATAGTGACGGAAAATTTTATTCTCTAAAATGTTCTCCTTTCGCGTCCTTTCCTGCTCTCTAACAATGTTCTGTGACTGTTCTGTCATCTGCTTTCGTCCCCACTTTCTGCCCCCACCCCCTCCTCTGGGCTCCTGACTCTTTCTGCAGCCTTTCTAATGCTTCTCCTTGGCTACTTCTTACTGCTGTCTTTCAGCCACACTCCTGATCTTCTCATAGGAAAGGTGTCCACTTAGCCTTCTTGGACAAGGGCGAAAAATCTTGGAGGCCTCGTGTGCAAGTTGCGCAAGTTAAAGATCCCTTGGTGGTCTAAAGTCGAAAAGAGTAGGCTTCGGCCATCACCCAGCAAAATTCATCTAATTTCTTACCAACTGAAAATGTTTAATGTGTCCCGCTCTCATATGACGTTATACAGTTGCAAGGGCCGAAAAACACTTACAAAGAAGCAAAATCAAACAAGTTAGTTGCTGTTAAGATGTGACAACTTACAATTAGTATTCTTTAAACTAGTAAAAAAAAAAAAAAAAAGAAACAAGGCCTGGGGCACCACTGGTAGGTCCTACTTCTTTACTTTCCCTCTATTTTTTCTGTCTGTCTGTCTTACTTTTTCCCATCCCTATTTTATGACCATTATTGTGTCATGTGCTTCTCCTTACTCAAACAAAACAAACAAAATTGTAACTGGAGGTCACAATAAAGGTCACCACGTCTTTTTCGCCAGGTGACTTGCACTTCTCATACCTCAAGCGATCCGACGCCCGGAGCTACAAGTGTGGGGTCTCCATTGGGGAAATCATCAAGCTGGATGGAGCAGGTCATACTGTGCAAGTGGTTGGCGTGGCTGGTAGGTGCACTGCTTGGTCTTGTGTAAATAACACACTCAGTGTAGATAATGTCCCCAGTGTAGATAACTCCCTCAGTGTAGATAACACCCTCAGTGTAGATAACATCCTCAGTGTAGATAACTACGTCCCCAGTGTAGATAATGTCCCCAGTGTAGATAATGTCCTCAGTGTTGATAAAACCCACAGTTTACATACTGGTAATGCTTTCAGTCAACGTAATGCTCTCAACATATATAATGCCCAGGAGGGGGAGGGGGGGGTTGGGGGAGGGAGTAAGCAGTTGAATCAAGCTTTCAGGATACCTAAACTCAAGCTATTTTGGTATGTCGTTTCTTGTCTCAAATGGGTATGGAAACAACATTCACCCCCAACGCCATCTGCATGTCAAGTGAAGTTCTTTAATTTATTTCTGAGCAACATTTGGCATCTGATTTGATTGTATATCCTAGATATTTAATCTGTCAAACTTGTTTATTCTTTTCACCTTTGCTTTTGAGAATACAAATAGGATTCACTACTGTTTCTTTTTTAAGCTATTACCATGCTTTCTTATTGTTTTATCTGTCACATAAAGTTGAGGGAGGAGAGGAGTTGAGGCAAGCCTAGAGGATGCCCAAACTCACGCTGTTTCATATGTATATATGTCATTTTTGGGGTCTCAAATGGGTATGGAAATAACATATTGTCAGTGTGACAAAAGCATCCACATAAGTCTTTTAGGGTCCTCTTTTTCATCAGAGACAAAAAAAACCGAATTCCTGTTGCTTTGTTCCTATCAGAAATTATGAAAAGTAAAAATATATTAAACTGCATTTTGTGATATTGAAAAGTGCATCTTTGATAGAGCTTTGTGAGGGTGTAAAAATAGAAAATAATCCAAATTTGGACCTTACTGGATTTATTGCTGGCGACAGGGACAATATACTCTCTTCACCATCTGTTTGTCAAGTCAAGGTGTAATCTCTGTGATGATGATACAAGAATGGCTTGTTTAAGATTTCCATCAATATATCGTCTGCCAACCAGAGTCTGAGGTGTAGTGGTTAGGCGCTTCATTGTTGCAGGCAGGAGACCCCAAGTTCTATTATTGTGTGGGGAAAAGTTTTTATCGACTGTCCCTATCTTTCTACTGGCTTATTGTATCACATTTTCCTTCATTCTTGTCTCTAGGCTCTGAGTCTATCAAGGAGTCCTCTATCGAGACATAGAAAATGTGTCACAACGCGGTGGAATCAGGCGCTTGTCAATATTTGGACATGTAGAGTTATCAGTAAAGCTTGTTCATTTGTCTATCTTTTGATAAAAAATACCCATCTATCTTTAAAAGAAGTCATGATATTTGCAATTGAAAAAGTTTGTAAGTGTTTTTGTGCATGTAATCAGCTGCTTGCACTGTAAGCGTCCCATGAAGCTGAGAATATTTTGAATGTTTAAGGGTCTACTGGGATAATAATTGTTGTAAACCATAGAGGTTTCAGAGGTAAAATTTTCTAGAAGATGGCAGCCAAAGTTTGGTGATTTCCATAGCTTTAGAGTACTTGGAAAAAGAAAATGTTCAATTTTTATGCCTTTAATCAACATTTTTCAGTAAAATCCACTCAAATATTTTGAGTGGACATAAAAGCTGTTGAACCGAAAAACAGAAATGCGACAAAAACTACCAAACTGGCGGGAAAATGCCCGTTTCTTTTATTTCATTATTTTGACAAGCACTTGATTTTACCAAGATGCCTCACATATCATGTTTTCCAACAGATAGGAAGCAGCCTGCCAAGTTAGAGTATTCCTCAGATCCTAATCCTGTCGTAAGGCCTTATGAAAGTGTTCACCTGGAATGCGTCTTTTCCGGACGGTGAGTACCACCTATTTGATCATTTATAACATGTCTAATCTAGAGGTCAAATTATTTTGTGGTCACTCTCCCATTTAGTTCCTCTTTGGGTTTTTCAAATTTGTATTAAACTTTTCTTCCAATGTGCAAAACCATAGTGAAAGAAATCCGACGACTCAAGTAGCAGCGTAGCCAGACAAGGCTGATTTTTAACCACAGTTGTCTTGCTTGTTTTTCATTAATCTGTTACATTTTTTTTTTAATATGTGTATTATTGCCGGCTTTATTTTTCTCTTCCTATTGAATTTTCAAGAAAGTAATGTATGATTTAAATTCTATGGAGGGTATATTCTACAAGTGTTCTTACCATTCCTGTACAGCCAAGAAAAATTTCCCACTGGCACACAAAAAATGTATCATCTTATCTTAGTTTAGCTTAGCTCCTGATTCTTGTCTTATCTTATTCTCATCTTCTTTTTCTTATCTTATCTAATCTGGAGCCTCGCCCAGTTCCAAATTCTTTCATGCTTTCATGGGTTCAGTTACCCCTTCTGTCATAGTGAGCCGTGCTTGACATGGTTCCTGCATGCTACTTGGGCTTTCAGGCACACTTTTGTCACCAGCGTCTGTGGTTTAGCGGTCAGGTGCTTTGCTGTCGCACACAGGAGACCCGAATTCAATTTCCAAGAGGGGAAAACACTTTTGTCAAGTACCTCGGTCTTTCTTCTTGGATGTTGTATCCCTCTCAGCCAGCCAGAGTTGACTCTGACACTCAGGGTCAGAAGCCCACCTCCTAGATGGTCTAAATTGTGCAGATGAGAACGTAAAACACCTACATTTATATTTAACCCCCCCCCCCCCCAAAAAAAATTGTTTTATTTGTTTTGTCTCAGATGTGCGGATTTTCTGAATACGTCCTGAAACTAGAATTTCTGAATTTGTCGGGATTTTGTCTTCATATATATTTATCTCTATTACTATCTCGGAGTGAGTTTTCTGTGCTGCACAAGAAGCATGAGGTGATGTAACGTTTCATGTTCACAGTTTACTCTAACATATTTTCTCATTTACAAAATTGTTTTTCACCCTGTTTGATCGTTGATTTTGCTGTGTTTGTATTTATTTTGACTTTTTCTGCCATATTCATGGTATTGGAAACAATTTTATATAATTTGCTGATAGTTCATTTTTTGTTTTTGTTTTTTCATTTATGTTTAAATCCTTTTATTGTTTCCCTCCTGATCTGTAACTTTTTCTTATCACCATAGCCATGTTTTTCTTTTTAGTGACAAAGGACATCATCCATCATCATTTTTACTTTAAATTTTTACCTAAATCTTATCAATGTAAATTGTAAACGTTTAGTAGGCACAGTAAGAATTTTGAGTCTTTAGGAATTATTTTTGTAAAAATGTTTTTATCACATATATTCTATACTATTGACGGCATAATAATATGAAGGCAGGGGGGAAGAAATTTGGTAATTTCCAGGTGAATTTATCTTTTATAAAGTAGGTATGAGATTTGTTATTTTAGGGTGTCACTTTCATGTCTTTCTGATCTGAATCTGTCTTGCTCTTTATTTGTGTAGTTTGATTTTTTCTGTGTTGCAAGAAAAATGTTTGAATATTTGACTGTGGAAGAATGTGCTGAAAGTTACCCTTGATCTGAATGGAAACAATCCTATCTCACTGAAGGTTGGGGGTAGCAAGTACTATTTCTTCTGACCAGCAGGAAATGCAACCCCACTTTTGGAAGAATAGCATCCACAATTAAGATAAGATAGATAAACACCAGCGAGGTGTGCTGAAAAATGAGTTACTTCTCGTAATCCTCTAATGGAGTTTTCAGCCGAAAATAGACACATATAATTTGTAGATTTTTCAACTGATGCTATTTTCTCCTGTTAAACCTGTCTTTAAGCATCTCGTAATGTACCAACTTTAACATACCAGTGCCAAACATGGTCCTTAAACAAAGCAGACCAGCTGGAAAAATCAATGTATGCGAAATGAGGTGTCTCCACAAAACCATCAATGTCGTGAGAAGACACCATATTAGAAACGAGACCATGTGCTAACAAACTGGAATACCACAAGTAATAAATTTCATTGAGCCATCAAAGAGTCAAATGGTTCGGACGTCTAACCAGAATGCCCGAGAAACAACTAGCGGCAAGAACTTACCACACCCATGAATCCGGCTTCAAATCAAGAGGAAGACCAAGAAGGACCTGGCTAGATGGGGTTAAAAAGGTCCTGGAACAACATAACATATCTATCGCAGATGTCATACATTTAGCACAGGACCGAAACCTGCACCTCCCCTCGACATCCTACGGATACCAGAGGAAGGAAAAAGTCAAAGTAAAGTAATATAATAAATGGTACAACCCCAACATATAAGTTTGATGTATCTATCTGTGTCCATAGGGCTCAAATCCGAGAATTGAGTCGTTTTGTCAACACATCTCACATTTATTACTGACTTCCACAGAGAGAATACCTGCTGGAGCATGGTAAATACATGTGCACACATGCACTTCTCAACACTCCTCTATCTCTTTTTCTCTCTCAGGTTTATCCAAACGATTGACTGGGTGGACGTCTATCATCTGGATTCAACCATTATTTCGTGAGTTCTGAAATATTTAGTTGTTTTCTTTTGTGGTCTGTGCTCTTTTCTTAGCTTCTTGTAGTGCAGTATGATGCGGATGTCACAAGGTACAGAATGGGCAGAGGTGATATGTTCAGGGAAGTTTTTGTTTAAATGTGTGAGGTTTTAATTTTCGTCCTAATTGTAAATTAGATTATGGAGATTATACACTAATCCTTGTCTTTCCCATATAAGTCCGGTGGTGTCGTTGGTCTAGTCGTTATATTTTTGTACTCTCAACCATTAACGGTAAGGTCATGTGTACAAATCCTAGTGTCAGGGGTCTGAAGTTGTGCCCTCGAGAAAGGCACCTTACTCACATTTTGTCCACTGGTGAGGAATGAGAACTTGGTTATAGACTGAAAAATCTTGTCTGTTTGTGTTTTAGTGCATGTAATCAGCTGCTTGCACTTTTAATTTCTCATGAAGCTGAGAATACTTTGAATGCTTTTGGGTCTACTGGGATAATATTTATTGTAAAGCAAATACAGGCAATATGAATGCAATTATTTATTATTATCATTTTCCCTCTGGAAAAATGTGTGTGGGTAGGGGGATAAAGGGTAGGAAAATGTTCGTTGTTTCCCTAAAAACGACCATGTTTGTACTTTGAGCTATGGAAGAACTTTTTGGTGGGTACCCCGTGAGCTGTTGCTGGCCAGTGCAGACTACAACAGAGAAAAAGGAAAGGAAGGAAAAGAGTGGTGGTAAAAAGGTAATATTTTGCTACCAAAGAATGACAAAGTTCCCACCACTCAGTAGGCTACCAAGTTTTGAGAAATTTTAGTTTTAAAAATTTGAGTTTCACAAAACGTCAAACTTTTTCAAATGCAATTCTTTGAATATCATGATAACAACGCCGAAAAATTATCTTACAATTGTAATAGAGCAGATGGAACAATTGGTTTCTGACATCATGGTTTTAGTAACTCAAAACGGCCAAAAATGTCAGATAGAACTTTGTATTTTTAAGGGGGAGGGGTACTTTATAACCTATCTCGGTAACTATGAAAGTTCAGGTAAAGCCTTTGGCAAGGAGGTTAAACAGGAAAACATCTCTAAAAAGCAACGTTACGTTTTTTTTTTAATCCACCGTTTCCATGGTAACGGCGGCCATATTGAAAATAAACAGCTTTCATAAATCTTGAAAGGCTTTTTTAATTACTGACCAAATTTATTCAAATTTGGTTCATTGATGGATATACTCAAAACAAAATATTATACAACAGGGCTCTTGAATAGGAAAAAAGTTATAGATGGACAACTGACCTACCCCTTCACACCTCTGAATTTCATTACACAATCGCCCATAACTCAAGTATAAATGTACCTATTACATTGTCCTGTTGTATAAAGT